CGGCAGCCCTTGCATGCTCCGTATAGTAGCGTACCCATTTATCACAATAATTGAAAAATTTTGTATCCCATAATTTTGTTCTAATTAAAGACAACTAAATTATACCCAAATTTAAAATTTTTTCTTACTAATCCCCAACATCGAAATATTCAACACTAAAATCGGGTAAGCTACTTAAACGTTAAGTTAGCAGACCCACAGCAAGAAAACGCATGATACAGAAAAACTAAATATACAGAAGTTTGCCAATTAAAGGACTAATTTATACCCAAATCAAAAATTTGAAAAATTTGTTGCAGAACATCGGAAATATTTAAACACTAAAAGTGGGTTACGCTAACTTAACGTTAAGTGTAGATACCCCACACAGAAAAAATACTATTACATAAAAACTAAAATGTTACCACACGTATGCCCCGAATTAAAGACTATTTATAACCCAAATTCGAAAAAATTTTTAAAATTTGTGCAACATCGAAATATTCAACCACTAAAGGTGGGTACGGCTAGGTTAACGTCAAATTTGGCATAACCTAACAGGAAAAAAGCATGATTACAGAAAAACCAAACTGTACCAGACGTTTGCCCGAAATTAAAGACTAATTTATACCAAATTCGAAAATTTGAAAAACTTTGAGCAACATCAAAAATATTCAACACTAAAAAGTGGGTACGCTACCTAACGTCAAATTAGCATACCTATTACAAGAAAAAAGCTTGATACATAAAAAACTAAATATACCCAGACTTTGCCCGAATTAAAGCACCTAATTTATACCCAAATTTTAAAAATTTTGAAAATTTGGCATAACATCGAAATATTGCAAAACTAAAGTGTCGTACGCCTACCCCGAAATGTATTTAAGCATTTGTTATTGTCTAAAATGTGTTTACATAAAGGTACATATAAAAATTTTAGGCGTTGCCGAACTAATGCGCCGGCTTCCTCCCATACGTTTAGTTGGTTAATTTAAATGTTTTTTATTTAACCTCCCTCTTTCTTTGCCACAAAAGTCGTAAGAGGAGCGGCGTAGGTATCCCTCATGTATATAATAAAGGCGACCCGCCTTGTCAGGCACTCAGTTAAGTTATACAACAGCGAAGTTTTAAAAAAAAATATTGACATTTAACTCAACATATGTCGCGCTTTTTTTGCTTGCTAAACTGTTTTAGACAAAAAAATTGCCGCTCTTCATTTGATCCGTTAATTAAAACATCTTAACTAAGTTGATATCAAGTTAGTTCCGCAATGTTAATAAACGAAGAAGCTACAGAATTCATAAAAAATAATTACATGTGAATTTATCGTTTTTGCCTGCTCATAGCTTTCTTAATTTTTCTTGTCTTTAAATATTGCTTCCCAGGAAATTCCAAAACATGAGGGCGGCGAGCCCGCCGTGTCCATGGAGCGTCTTTCAGGCTGAGCTTTCTCCTGGCGGGGTGTTCCGGAAGCCTACCCTTGCGCCTGCGAGCTAATCTGGAGGAGCCCTGTGTATTTGTTGTATAGAACAGGTTTCGCTAAAGTGCTTTGTGAATGGAATGATGCCGGCAGCAGAATCTGCTGTTACGTTTAGTAACCTCCGTGGAAATGTGGGCGTACTTCTTCAAACTGAAACGGTTATTTTTAAATCCCTGGCAATCACGATTTGTAAAGTTGGAGAAATAAGAAAAAATTATTAATAATAATTAAGAATACAAAAAACGTTTCTATTGTTTTTTTTTATTTCTGACGCATAAATATTGATTCGGAATGCCAGGGAAAGATGTAATTTACTTGTATCAAAAGTGCAATAATCAGTTGGACTTTGGTACAATAGTCATTGGAGTTTATGACATACGGGACTTCAAGAACTAATCAGGATTTTTTTGCTTAAACTTGTAAAATAATACACATCACAGGTTGAGTTTGTAATTTTGTACACATTTATTACAATATTATGTGAAATGACTATGTGCATATACATCAAGTATGTTCATTTAACCAGGAAACAATTGCTTGAAATATGTGTATTTCTATGATTAGTATATAGGAACCTAGTAATGAATATCCCTTTCAACCAATCTTTCAGTGATAGTTCAGTCATACTCACAGTACATGCATACGGAACATACATACCCCGCAAGTCAATGAGCTTATAGTTTCCAAAACCAAATCCAAAACTGTTGCAATGTTCTCACGGCTATTCATTCATCTGAATTTACAGGATTTAGCACGTGGAACGATTCACATATCCTGCAGCTTGTATTTTCTCACCAAAGCAAAACTTTAAAGAGAGTGACTTCATTTTTTCTTTCTTCTCTTGAGATTTGATTTTAATTCGTAAAAGTACTTACGATTATTGTTGTTAGTTATTGGTCTACAATATCCAATAATTCAACTTCATATTGCCGTTAGAAACCCTACAATAACGGCGTCAGGCATGTGATTGCGTATTGATTCGTTGTTTTTTAAAATAAATATGGTTAATGTGAAACAATACTTTGTCTTCAATGATCAAATTGTGATACTGGGATACTACCGGAGAAACTGCCGATTGGAAAATCTAGTACTTCAACGGAATATATTTTCTCGTTCGTACCAATAAAGCCATACGGAGTAAAATGCATAGTATGTAGAAAAGTTATGTAATGCAGGAAAATGGTGGACCCTGATATCAGAAAATGAATAAATCATGTTCCAATATGTAGAGGAAATTGCTTCCTCAAACGTGTTATGTAGTGAGATGTCATTAATTGTAAGAGCTTAATATTTTTTTTTCAAAACGTCCGTTCGTCTGTCCATCTGTGAACAACTCTGGAGTCTATGCTATTCGTTTACATAATGAATATTCCCATGTCCTTTATTATTCATAACAAATCAGGAAAGGGTTCGCTCTTTCTGCTTTGAGTTGCATTTTAAACTGATCCCTGGTATTTGCAATTATAGTAATAACTGATTTCAAAATAATTTTCTTTGTTTATGAATTAACGTCACGCAAATTCTAAGAACTAGCCGCTATAAATTAGTCTTTAATTCGGGGAACGTCTGGTACATTTATTTTTTCTGTATCATGCGTTTTTCTTGTATATGATGCTAATTTGACGTGTAGGTAGCGTACCACTTTTTAGTGTTGAATATTTCGATGTTGTGCAAATTTAAAAATTTTCGAATTTGGCGTATAAATTAGTCGTTAATTCGGGCAAACGTCTGCGTTACATTTAGTTTTCGTATATCAGTGCGCATTTTTGTATAGGTATGCCTAATTTGACGTGTAGGTAGCGTACCCACTTTTAGTGTGAATAATTTCGATGTTGCACAAATTTTCAAAAATTTTCGAATTTGGTATAAATTAGTCTTAATTTCGGGCATAACGTCTGGTACATTTAGTTTTATGCGATAATGTATTCTTTCTTGGTGGTATGCTAAGCTTAACGTAAGTTAAGCCGTACCACTTTTAGGTGTTAAATATTTCGATGTGCACAAATTTCAAAATTTTGAATTATGGGATAAATTAGTCTTTAATTCGGGCAAGACTTCTGGTATATTTAGTTTTCTCTGTATCATTGCGTTTTTTCTTGTGTGGTATGCTAACTTAACCGTTAAGTTAGCTTACCCACGTTTAGTGTGAATATTTCGATGTGGTGGCATTAGTAGAAAAATTTTTTAAATTTTGGGTATTAAATTAGTCTTTAATCCTAGAACAAAATTATGGGATACAATTTTTCAATATTGTGATAAATGGGTACGCTAACTATACGGACATAGCCCTTGCCGTTGCTCTCATCTCCGCCACTGTCGCCACTGGCCCTTCGAAGACGTGATATCGCTGTAGACACCGCAAATCAGGCTGACTTCAGTTTACAACCAAGATTGCCGCTGACTCTCCAACGGCTCTAACCGGTAGCTCCTAGGATTCGAGTCGCTATGGTACCGGGCTTTTGACACTAGCTGCAGAGCTAGGCCGAATTCCGACATCTGTGTGGAGGAGAATTCTGGCGGAATCAGAAACAGCCGAATGCCGCAGCCGTTCAAACATACGGGTCACGGACCGCGCGTGATCTTTCCTTCCTCTTCCTTGTCCTATCCTCGCCGCTTATACAGACACACATACACGCATGCGCGCACAAACATACCTGCAAATATAAACATACACGTATGATCTGGACTCCCACGTTCGTCGGGAGAGCAGTCGAGAGATTAGAGTTAGTTCCGGCAGGGGCGGTGCCGAGCTAGAGGAGATGCCTGTCTGACTCTGCCGTGTTATGTGGTACGTGTGGTTAGCACGAAGACATCCCTACGCCGTATTCTGGTCTTCTCAACCTGAAAAGTAAATTTTCTCATCGTTAAACGGCAATATATATTGGGACATTGCAAGGAAAACGAACACTATCGTGCCCGACCGGAATTCGAACACGGGGTCGCATCATGGAAAGCGATCACGCTGACCAGCAAGCTAAACCGCGAGATCAGGGTGACACCTGGAGGGGGCAAATCCTCCGTAAGTCGACGTGTAGGTCGCGCAGGATCCCTCGCGGAGTAAAACCTTCATCCCCTGTCCTGCCGTGTGAACCTTCTCTGCCTCGACCGTGTTCGCCACTTCCACTACCTCCAGCGCCTCCGACACCCCTTCTGCCTCCATCACGTCCACCATATTGTCGCATTCACCGCCACACTTCCTCCACTCCCGCTTTAGCGCTATTACCTTGCGAGACAACCATTAAACATTTTTTTAAAAATAAACTACAGTTACATTTTATATTTTCTTATACAAATATTACACAAAACTTAAAGTTTCACGATATCCGACGATAGCTCACATTTTTACGGAAATACTTAGAAAAGGGCACATAATATGTGAATAGTATGACTCTTTTAAGTTTGATACATTGTAAATGCGACTTTCATTAAAAATGTGATTTATTTAAACATGTTTTCGAGGAAGGAGATTTTTCGAGCTTCGAAGAGGAGAATTTCCTTTAATCAAATTAACTGTCAATATTTTTTCATAAGTGTGTATGGAATGCAAAGTGGTGTCCCCCGACAGTACTGCCGATGGCAGGTACCATACATTTCAAACGTCATGCCAAGATCAAAGCTGTAGTTCCCAATGCCACCACCAAAACCGCCACGCCGTCTTCTCCTTTCTGCATATATCCCTGGTGATGCGAGAGTTCCTCTATTTTGGTGATTTTACATTCGTGAATATCACGTTATTCATTCGTTGTTTGCGACAGAAGAAGACTAAATCTCAAACTAACTCCAGGATTATTTAACAACTCTCATTTGACATGTAGTGTATCTGAAATTGATTCACTCTCAATGCCATAAACCAATGTAATTCCACCTCTGGCTGCTCCTCGTTTCGGCAACTAACCCTGATGACCTTATTAATGAAACTAATTCCTCCTCTCTCTGCATAACCACTGCTATCAACAATCCATCATGCAAACATTTCAACCTCCCGTAACTATTACCCTACTAACACTTCCCGGTCCACCAACACCATCACCATCACCATCACCTCACTCACAAACACTGCAACTATTACAATCACCGCCTACACTACAACCATCAACGTCTGTGAAAGCGGCTTCTCATCTTTATTGGAGGCAAGAGGAAACTTGGAAAACTTACAGTTTCTCAGATCCGTTTTCCTGAAGAATTTTTGCATATGGATCGTGCAACCCACTAACGATTGACGATCTCTCGGTGCCCATGTCTAGACCTTTCCAGAAATCAAGAAGGGATGTTATTACTTATATTTCTATTTCCTTCTTCATGAATGAATATCCTCATATAATGTTAACTAATGAAGGGAAAAGTAACATCTTTGACACAAGAAAAAAATTATTCCGTTTGAACAGTGAGAAACTACTTGATCGTGCAATGTATGATTGTAGAAATACAGAGTTAATAGTATTATCAAATTAATATATTGAATTCTGCAGTGCTATGGAAAAATAATTATGTAAATAATGTATACTCAATATACCATTAATTACATATCTGTATGATAATACTTTCGCTATATTCTATTTCATTTCCTTCTTAAGACTAAACAAAAATATTTGTTTTCAAGCCCATATGATTCTCATTTTATTAATTATCCAACAGGCAACTTTATACACTCCTAATTATCACATTTTCTTCTGTTATTACTATTTATTTCTCTTTCAGATCTTTTCCTACCTTGGTATGTTCTACTTTATATGGTAAATGGCGTTCCTCTTCCAGTATGTAAGTACTATATTCACACATTTATATATAGTATGAAGTAATATATTATGACGGGTGTTGTATATTACAACATAATTCATATGGTTTAGTTTTTAATGGTTAAAAGTATTTGCATGAGCATTTTATTGGTTAATGTATTGCGTAGAGTCCTAAGCTATGTAACGAAAAATAGGAAACTTGCACAGATTTTCCTACAAGTTTTTGTTGCAAGTGCGAGTTTTCTAAAGAATTTCTGAGTAAAACAGAAGCACAACTTTTGGATTTTCTCTCTGCATTGTCCTATTTAGCTACCTGTATAAAAGGAATTTTATGAAGAAGTAATATTTTCTTATAACGAGGAGAATTAAAATATCATCTGATTTTTTTCGGTTAATTCAATGACAGTAATATTTATTGGTTTTGCAAATTACAATACAATAGTTGAAGTAGATCCTTTTTGCTTGCTTGTTGCTTGTAGATTGTTTAAAACAGATGTTACTCGATAAATTCCCTGATGGCTGCGAAAATATTGTGGTATTCCATACTGATTAGTAAGGACCCAAGAGGTATCAAACACATTTTGTATAATTACTTGATATTTTAAATAAAAAATACGGACATGACATTACATGGCTCTAAAGTATTCATTTGATTAATTTTAACTCATGATACTGCGGTAAGTTTCCTATTTCTATATATTTTATTGCTCAATTTTTGTAATTCATCTATTTCTATTTGTATACTTACCTTAGTTTCATTACATGAGTTAATTAAAATTAATTCGATAATTTGCTTCTCTGTGGTTCCACTAAAGATAGGATAAGAAATCAAAAACATGACATGTCTGGATTATTGTTTGAAATATTAAATAGTAATAAAAAAAATAAATTGATATCTGTTGGATCCTTGAACATGTTCGTTTTCAATACAGGCCGCCTTAACCCACCTTACCTGAAGTGTATGTTACGTTAAAAACTAATTGGCGTTCGCCACCTCTGCTATCCAGCTTCCGCACATACTGTCAGCGCATGGCACCCAGCCATTTCGAAATGCCGCTGACAGTAATTCCCTTCTTGAGGCGGAGTCGCGCTGCCGCCTGACATACTGGCCTGGTAGGCGTCGCGTCGTGAGTCAGCCGTCAACAGCTGGGGATATTGGTTTCCAGGTTTCGATTCCCCAACATCCGCTAACCTTTAGCGACTTGCTTTCATTGATCGCGCTTTCGAAGTCGGGGAAACCAAACACATGTTTTACGTTCTGTACTCAGATAAAAGATGTGTGCACTTGCCATACAGTTTTGTGAGTACAATTCAAGTCGTGAAAAAAAAAAGCGCGGAAAAACAAATTAACTCTTTAAACCTTGAAATAGACCCGTATTTAAAAAAAAAACTACTCGCCGATTTTTCAACATAAACGCTGATTTCCAGAGAGTAAAGTGTATGACAAAGATGAACAATTTATGTCCAAATAACTTACACGTATTTTGTACCACGATAATGTTCGACTTCATAACACAAGGTATATTCTACAGCGCAAAATCATCTTATGTGAAATTCTCCTGAGACCCTCTGTTACTGAATTTCTTCTTTACATGCCAGGCAATTGAACTTTATTGATAGTGTATGTTACTAAAACCTTTTCCTACACATTCGTTTATTCTAAACGAGGTCAATAATAAAGTTCACAAGGACATCACACATTACGGCTATTCACTTTAATGCCTTACTTTCCAACTCGGACACAATTCTCTCGAGAAGTACGTCTTGGCCGTGAATAACTTCATAGATAGTAAAAGTTTGTGCATTCCCAACTTCAGAAACCTACATTTACATCCCTTACTGCTAATGTAAATTTAATATTATTTTTTGTTATGATAAAAGTGATTCTCAAGAAACAGTAAACAATATATATGCCATCGTCTTAGCGCGAGGTTCGAAGCATGTTGAAGCTTTTTTCCATACAGTGACATTATAAAACTGCTACAACCAAATAAATGAAGAATAGTCCGAAGAATCGAGAAGATGCGAAACTGACATAGAAATGAATTAAAGGTAAGATTTCTTGAAATAACTTGTTTCAATTAAGAATTTTTGAAATAAATATTTTAATTTTAACGTGATAAATATTGATTAAAAAATTCAATAATTATGAATGGCATATATGCCAGGATCCCTTTATTCATGATTGAAGAATGCTTACATGACGATTCATGAGCTCACATTTTCAGAACGTGACCAACGCTTCTGGAACAAATTGCATTTATTCTCTCAGAAAATATTATAAAATGGCATGGGTGTCTTAAACTTATTGATCAATTTATTGAACTGAATCATCATGCATAATGTAGCAACAGAACATTACGTAACGTATATGATATTGTTTACAGGGCTGCCAACAAATCCACTTGACATTGGACGATATGGGACGCTATTTGTGTTATTAACATTACCATCATCAACTCTAATAGTAAATATTATTACTACTTCCAAAGCATCATCGAAACATCGAAACCTCACCTACGAATCCAACTCCTGAAGTCACCAAATTAAAATCGTGTGAGTCAGAGTCAGATGAGTTTCTTCATCACTGACTAATTTATTTTTTCTCTTTCTGTCTTTTATATTTGATTATATTGGTACGCGAAGATAGTTTTATTACAATACATTAATTAATAACAAATGAATTCAAAACATGTCATTGTTATTACATATGTTAATAAAGACGACTGAAATATAGTGAGAGTAACAGCAATAATCATGCGTTAAATTATTAATTCATACGTTATTAATTCATACGATACTTTAAATTAGGGGGCTTTTGATAATCTAACAATTTGAAACTAAAAGATCTAATTGATATTCATTTTCAATTAGTCCAGAACTATTTTTACTTTCCCTCCCTAATCTATTGTAAAGTGAGAATGTCTCACTAAGGACAATGAAGTTGTAAACAGATGCCTTGTTACACACTGCCGGCAAAAGAGATAAAATTACTCGCAATAAAATAGCACTATTAAAATGAATGAAACCGCATTTAGTAGGATATTTTAGGAGCTTTTAAGAAACATATAATGTTCTTTAATATGTTTCCTCATCCTTGCAAAAACTAAAAGATTAAACATTTAAATTTTTTCTAAGAAGTATTGAAAAGTGATAGGCGCAATTTTACGAAGACAATAAGTTTTTTCTTATTTGAAGATCTTAAGTAAACATTTATTAAAAATCGAAACAAAATTAGTTCAATATGAAAAACAAACATTATTTTTAAAAGATATAATTATGATTATTAAAAAAGAAGCTGAATATATTTCCATCAAAAACACCAAGCTACAGATTATCCAGGACAGATAGGCGGAGCCAAAGTCGTCAAAATAGTTCAAATGATTTTATAGCATATGAGATTTTAAAAGGCAGTTACTATTTTAAAATCAAAGGCAGACACTTTAAGTATATCTCTGGATATTGGAACTATTTATTTACCTGACGTCAAATACAATTAAAAGTGTGCATAACGTTTTATGAAAAGAAATGTAATGGAAGATTAATATTTCAAAAAAAATATATTATTTAATGCATATTTACAATTTTATTATAATAGGGTCAATCCAGTACAATGTCAACGGGGCATGACCCCCACAGCCCCCCTCTAGAGTCTCTAATTATCCTCCAGTCGTTGAAGATCGACTTGTTGCCCGTCAAAAACTGACAACTATGCCGCCGAAAATGTGATCATGGCAGTGAGGGATTTAACAGCCTCTTTCCTCCTCCGGCGCCGCGCCCCGGGCGGGCGGCGGATGGGCGTTCGCGGCCGTGGGTCGCGTACCCCAGTTGCGGGAGCCCCCCGCCCGCTTTGCCGCCGATCGACCGGTTTGTGGCGCGCCCGCAGGCGACCGAGTGCGGCGCGACGGGCGCCCGTTCGCGCGTTGAAATCTCCGGCGGCCGTTGCGCTCAGCGCCGCCGCTCGGCCCCACCCCTTCTACTGCCCCCGCTGCCGCCCGCGCTGCGGTTATGAATTGCGGTCCCCCTGCTGAGTCCAGCTGCGCACTCACACGTTTCGGGCGCCCGCTGCCGCTCCATCGCGCCCCCCCCACGATTGCCGCCCCACCTGCCCGCCCCACTGCCGCCCCCAAACTGCCGCCCCACATGCCCGCCCCTACTGGCCGCCCCCACTCGCCCCCACTGCGCCCCCTGCGCCCACTGCCGCCCCATTTTCAGCCGCAACAAGCCCATAGCAGCCCCCATTTACTGGCCGCGGAACCTTACTGCCGCCTTCCGATCGCCCAACTGCGCCCCTTCATTCGCTGCCCAGCCCTTGATGAGACAGGTGCCCGCATGCCGCTCCGATGCCGCCACAGGTCCCCGTAGAATGCCGCCCCGATGGCCACCGCCCCCGATTGCCGCCCCCGTGCCGCCCGATGCCCGCGCCCTGATGCCTGCCCGTTATGCGCCTTCCGAGCGCCTGATGCCAAGCCCTGATCGCACGCCGTCGCGATGCACGCTCCCGAATGCTCGCCCCGATGCGCCCCGATGCTGCGCCCTCCCGAAAAGTCTCAATTATGAACATCACTGAACTGTGAAGTAGTATTTGTATGGATCTTACGACAAAATCCCGTTGAGACAACACAAGCTACTTCTCACAGATACAGCAACATTCTGAAGCAAACGCTTGCCCAATGGTAGTCGTCCTACAGAGAACGGTAGTTGCGCCGTGGAGTGGACGCCAACGTGGACGCGGCCTGCCTGCGCAGGGGATGGGGCGGAGTGGGGCGGAGTGGGCCCGCGCCGCGCCGAATTGAGACGTGTATGGCATGCGCGGGGGCGGGGCGGGGGAGAGGTCGCTACCGGCGGCGGTGGACGGTGGCAGGTGGCCGCGGGAGTTACAAAACGCCGCACCCGCGCATTAGCCGCCGGTGGCGCAAGCTACGTCCGACGCCCACCCATCGTGACGGCCTGCCGCCCAGCCCCGCCACGCCCACCACGCTCCTTCATCGCCCCGTTGCCCCGCCGCCCACTATCTGACTACCCACCCAGCCGCTCTACTGTGCTGCAACCCCGTCTCCCCGCAAACCACCCGACCCCTGCCCCACCGCCATTCATCTCCTCCCCACGCATCCCCACCAACACGCCT